GCCCCCGTCACCACCGGGCCCGCCCACGCAGCCCCCCGCCGCAGCGGCCGCGACAGCAGCTTGGGGAAACAGCCCTCGGTGACACGGGGCCCGGAGCCGGGGGGAGGCTGTAGCCCCTGGCCCTGCCACTGGCCCAGACACACGTCTTCAGCAGTTTATTTTTTTTTCCACCAGAGTGCAGATCAATCTTCTCACGTAGGTATAGTCATACAGGTTTTCTAATTGAGGGAAGTCCACAAGCTACTAGTGAACAAATTGGACGGCTGGGCAACCAGCAACCCTGCTAAGTTTAGCAAGGGGAAGTGCCGGATTCTGCAGCTGGGACGGGGCAACCCTTGGGTGTATGGATAGACTGGGGAACTAGAGGGATTCTAGTATAGAGATACTAGAGGATAGAGGGATAGAGGCTGGAAATCAGCGCCATGGAAAGGGATCTGGGGATCCTGGTTGATGGCAACTTGAATTTGAGGCAGCAGTACCCTGGCAGCCAGGAGGGCCAAGTGTGTCCTGGGGGGCATCAGGCACAGCATGGCCAGCCGGGCAAGGGAGGGGATTGTCCTGCTCTGATGTGCCCTGGGGCAGCCTCACCTCCAGTGCTAGGGGCAGTTTTGGGTGCCACAATATTAAAAAGACTGTAAGCTTTTAGAGACTGACCGAAGGAGAGCCACGGGGATGGTGAAAGGCCTTGAGGGGAAGCTCAAAGAGGAGGAGTGTATGAAGTCCCTTGGTCTGTTTAGCCTGGAGGAGATTGAAGGGAGACCTCAATGCAGTCACAATTTCCTTGTGAAGGGAAGCAGAGGGGCAGACACTGGTCTCTTCTCTGTGGTGACCAGTGACAGGATCAAAAGGAATGACATGAAGCTGTGTCAGAGGTTTAGGCTGGATATTAGAATAAGGTCTTTCACCGAGAGGGTTCTTGGGCACTGGAGCAGGCTCCCTAGAGAAGTGTTCACAGCACCAAGCTTGACAGAGTTCAAGAAGTGTTTGGACAATGCTCTCAGGCACATGGTGTGATGTCTTGGGGCTGTTGTGTGCCCGACCACAGGCTGATGTTGCTTGTAGGTCCTATCCAACTCAGATATTCTGTGATTCTATGCATAACTTCACACTGAACTAATTTAACTGCACTTCAGATTCTTATGGGTCTTATCAGTCTATTACAATACAAAACATTACATTTTGGGGCATATATTCCTTTTTTAACTTTCTTTTAAACTTCTGCTATGCAGACTGTATGACCTGAAGCTGTAAAACTTTAAAATACACAGTCATCTTGAAAATAAAACTTACACTCAAATTTTTAGACATGTGCAAAGCAACAGGCGGCAAGGTCACAAGCTAAGGGATAAGTGCCTGGCCCAACCTCCAGTGGGGACAACTCTGAGGCTCCAAAGCATGTCGCTAGGAACAAATCTATGTACAGTATTCCTGCTGCTGAATGCAACAAGACTTTGTGTGCACCCCAAAGTCTGAGAGCTCTTGGGTCAAGGATGCCAAAGGTGGAAATGAAATTCAATCAATATTCATGACAAATTTCTACAACCCCAGGCAAACTCCCATAGGTGTAAGTAATTATGCCCATAAAAGATTGGTGGTGGCTTTTGTCATGGTGCAAATGTTAAAGTGGTTCAATTATTCTGCTGAAGTCAAAAAGATTTAATTTGGTTCTGAGAATTTCTTGCTTATTCAGTACATGCATCTTCACTGCTCAACACCTCTGTGATCTGAATGCTGGTCAGAAACAACTGTTCCAGTATTTTTTATACAAAGATCCTGTCAGGCAAAATAGCCTTCCCTTTCACATAAATATTAAGCTTCATACTCAAATACTTCATGTGAATAAACTGTCTGCTTAGACTCCAAAATGAGCCCTTCCCAAGGTTTTTAATGTAATTTTTGTACCCATTTTAATTTTAAAATAATTGCTTGCATATAGCCTTTGTTATTTGCTGCCAATTTTTAGGAAAAGGGCTGCGGGACTGGACTAGAGGCTTGCATTTTGGCCTTTTTTAGAATTCCATATTCAATACAGATCTTAAAAAACCAGCTCCTTTCTACCTATATAGAGCCACCCCTTTCTCTGAACCACAATGACCATGCACTTAACATCCCCTATCACTAATATTTACCACTTCTGATTGGGAACCATAAAATTTCACTGCACACTTCAGTAGCCTTCTCTCAAAAGGTCACAATGAAGCTGAGGTCACTTTTGCTTGATTTGACAGGACACAGAATACACATCGGGGAAGGAATAGCAGCATTTCAAGGTCTGAAGGGACAAAAAAGTAGCTGACTTGGCTTCTACCAATCTTGCCTTGGATTGTGTGCATTCTTCTACCAATCTTTCCTGGGGCAGACACAGGTACAGGGGTTGCCCTCAGCTTCCTCCCAAAAGGGAGAGAAGAAACAGATAACTGGTTCAAAGCTGGTTCAGAGGTTTACTGTTAGAAACTACTTTTAAACATCTGCTGAGACCAATGAAATAATAATAGTAATAACAACTTCAACAACAAAAACAACAATAATAATAGTAATAATAATATTAATAGTAGTAGTAGTAATAATAATGATGATGATGATGATGATGATGATGATGATGATGATAATAATAATAATAATAGTAGTAGTAGTAGACACAATCAGCTACTTATCCCAGAAACTTTTGGAAGGGGAAAATCCAACAGTTAATTGTATTTCTAAAATTTCAGGGAAGTAAAATGTTGCTGGGAGCAACGGATAAGTCCTTTATTTTAATTCCTGAATGGCAAGCCTACCAGCTTCCTTGTAACTCTGCCAAGCTCTAAGTGTCATTTAAGGAGAGCACTACAACAGTATATTGTTGTTCTCCAGTGCTGCTTAGGATGTAGAAAGAAGACCGTTTATGATACATTAAAGCTCATAAATAAATAGCAATTTAATAGGAAAAAAATCTACTCCACATGCGAGAATATCTCAAAGGCATAGTTAATTACATAGCAGCCTGAGCATGTTCTCTTTTATTAAAATATTGTGAACGGCCATCCTGTTTCATTGCAATGAGCTAATACGCATCACCCCCTCAGGAAAGCTCTGTTAAAAAATAAGAAAACAGGTACTATAAATTTATTTCTTCTATTGCAGCGGTGTACAACACACAGGCCATTTTGCAGTATATTTAATAGAGAAATTTAACCTATCAATATAATTCAAAGGGATTTTACTCTCATTGCCAAAAGCAATGATTGGCATTAATATGAATTGCGACATATTCATGAAAGAGATGTTCAATCATTTGACATTTGTGCAGATTGCTATCTTTATATAAAGGAGTCCTATCTCATAAAACTTATTGATGAAAGTGGAGGAACACTATTCCTATTTCAAACCCATACACCATTCCTGCATTTGGGTAGAATACCTACTTTTTCTGAATCACAGAAATTTCTACACACTTAAAATTGATCAACTCCTTAAATACTCTGTTGATATTTGACTCGTATGCTGAAGCTGTGCAGACTTTGAGAGTTTGAACAGAGAGAAACAGAAAGAAACACTATAATTTATTCCTGAAGTACTGGAATAAAAGGAAAACTGCATTTTACTTTGAATGCTGAGAAAGGAGATCAGGTGTATGATTTTTCTTTCATTCATTCATTCAACACATGCATGGTTATCTCTGAACCACAATTCAGTGTTTTTATGCTAACATCCACACTTCACTTTAATCTACAGAAATGCACATTCCCCTTCTTTTCATGTAGGCTCATCAGGAATCATTTAAAATATCTCCAAACATCAAGAGTGTAGTGCCTAGATGGATTCATTGTAATTTGAATGGTAAACATCAATACCAAAATCTACATTTTCAGAAAAGATACATCTGCAAACATTTCAAGGCAGCTGTACTAAGGCCAGAGTTAAGGGTTAGCTTGTGCTGTCCTTAGTGTGTGTAGTGAGCCAACACTAATACTCACAGGATAAACTGCTGTACCAGCTAGAAATAACATTATTTCATTTAAATGAAAAAAAGTAATAAAGATATTTACTTTGGTGGTTTCTGTATTGAATTGTGGTAGTTTCTTTCATCCTAAATGCTTTCTAGGGGACACTTTGCTGTTCTTGTGCTTGACAATCTATGCATATGTAGACAGAGATTACTCCAGAATCTTTCCTTTTTCTCTACTAACATTTTCAGGTCGGGGGCTCTAAGTTACTGTGAAATAGTCCTGCAAGTACTGCAAAACTTCAGATGTTTTTCAGAAGCTCAGGCCTCTGTCAGAATCTCTTACTATATTTTACTCATGTTTCTCTCTTGATTTGATAACCCTGTAGGGATGACCACTCTAAGAGCATGTAAGGGGTTTGTGTGATACTGGGCATGGTGGCCCTGCAGAGCCCTACAATTTTTCTTCCATGACAAACTAAGCTCAATTGAATAAACAGGGAATTTTGTTATTTCATAATAAATGAAGAAAACCTTTTTTCAGAGTCTGAATAGACAGCAGTAAATAGCACTCATTTCCACCAACTTTTGCTCTTTATGTTCTGTAACACTGATGAATAGCAAAATTATTTTTAAATAATATTACAGACCACAGAGTCTTTAAGAGTTACTCTTTTTTCCTGTTTGGGGGAATAACCAGTTCACTAACAGAAAGCAAGAAGGGAACATGCCTATTTGCTAACCAGCTTTCTTAGAAGAGCTACTAAGACATTTCCTACTACTTTGTAGCAGCTTTGAGAAAAACATAATTGCTAAATGTTTTTAACACTCAGCAAGAACTTTGCAGAATATGAGCCACCTTTAAGTAGCAGAGTAGAAATCAAAAAAAAATTTCAAGAAGCATGCTGAAGATAATCACAGTATCTTGGAGAGAACATAAGTGTCTGCAAGATCACCTGAGCTTTGCAGAGCCTTGTTACAGAAAGCTGCTCTTAGCACTGTATTAAAGAAGTGGGATGGGATAAAAAAGGGAAAAAAAGAAGAAAGCTATTCCACAATGTAATCTGCATGTTTTTTTCTGTTGATGATTTAATCACCATCAGAACCATGGGATCTGATAGATTACCTTATTCTCAAGAAACCCTCAAAACCCACCTCCTATAGGCAGTGCTCAGCGGTCAGTGCTATTCTGTACCACTTAATACTCCTTACTGTCGTATAGATTTAACGCAAGCATAAAAACAGGAAACAGAAGCCATGATGGATTTTTCCCCCTTTGTTTTCAATTCTTGGTTGTTGACTTATGCAGAGAATATGGGAGAAATAGAAGAAAATTTTCCTCAAAAGAATATTCTGTTTCTATCATCTATGTGCATTCATGGCTATATTGCAATGAGCACAAATGAGACTAGTTTGTAGCCTGCAATTTGTTTTTAATATTTCATCTTGAACATCTGTATTAAAACAGAAGAAAATAAGTGTGCTAATAGGCATTACTTCTAGGTAAGTTATCCAGAATAGCTTCATTGCCTGTTCACAACATGAGAAAAATCTACTAGATGCCCAGAAATGCAGAATACAATGCATTAGTATAAGAACAAAGAATCATAGATATGTATAATAGTTTTATTATAGTTTTAGGGTGGAAGGGATCATGTAGTTTCAACCCTCTCCTCCATGGACAGGGACACCTTCCACTAGACCAGGTTGCTCAAATCCATGCTGGACTTTGAACACTTCCAGAGATGGGGCATCAGCTATCTCTCTGAGCAACCAGTTCCAGTGCTTCATCACCCACATTGTAAATAATTTCTTCCTAATATCTAATCTAAACCTAGCATCCTTCATCTTAGAGCCATTCCTCCTTGTCCTGTCACTACATGCCCTTGTAACTGATCCCTCTCACTTTCCTGTAGGACCCCTTTAGGCACTGGAAGGTGCCATAAGGTTTTCCTGGAGCTTTCTCTTCTGCAAAATGAACAGCCACAATCTCTCGGCCTGTGTTTATAGGAGAGGTGCTCCAGCCCTCTGAGCATCTTCAGGGCCTTCCTCTTGACTCAATCCAACAGGTCCATGTCTTTCTTTTAATTGGGACTCCACATCTGGATGCAGCACTCCAGGCAAGGTCTCATAAAAGCAAACCAGACAGGCAGAATGACCTCCATGGATCTGCTGGTCCTGCTTCCTTTGATGTGTCTCAGGATACAGCTGGCCATTGGGCTACAAGTGCATATTGTCAATTCACATCAAGCTTTTTGTCCAGCAATACCCCCAAGTCCTTCTCCACAGGGCTACTCTCAATCCATTCTCCGTGCAGCCTATATTTGTGCTTGGGATTGCCCAGACCCAGGTGCAGCACCTGGCACTTGGCCATGCTGAACTTCATGAGGTTTGCAAAGGTCCACCTCTCAAGTTTGTCCAGGTCCTGCTGGATGGTATTCCTTCCTTCAGTTGTGTTAATCATATCACTCAGCTTGGCGTCATCAGCCCATGTTGCCAACAAAAAAGCTGAACATCACCAGTTCTGATACCAATCACCAAGGAACACCACTTGTCACCAGTCTCCACTTGGACTACCAATTCACTTCCTCCAAATCAAGTTGTTAGTAAAGATTTCCTGATCAAAATTTGATCTTTCAAATTTGATGCCAGTTCAGAGTTTGAGTTCGTGTCCTTCTAGGACAACTTTAACAAATGTAGAGAGGAAAGGTGTCTCTGTTTCTGTGTATTCTTATTAAACTTCAACAGTACAGAATCCTGGAAAACCAAATTAAAGAGAGGATATGCTCAACTGTATAAAATCTTGGAGGACTGGGTAATGTGGGCTATTTTCACTTGAATGACAGGATCTTTTTTAGTTAGTAATTATTGTTTGAATAGAAGATTCCTTGAAAGTTGCTGCATTTGAATGCAAAGAAAGTCTATGGGTGCACTGGAAAAAGATTAATCAGTATTGAAACTAACAAATGGAATTTGAAAATGTGTTATTACAGCCATTTACTCCATTGCTGGTGTGGTGATCAGTGGCAGAAACTATTCATCACCACAACACAAAACAATGTAATGCAGCTTCACTTGCTTCATCTTGTATGATGTATACAAGCGTCAAGAAAAGTTCAACATCTGTGATGCTGAAGCTTTGTAATAGTCAAACATTATGATGGGTTTTCTATCAAACTAAAAAGAGTTCAAGACTCAATACTTTGCACAGAACAAGTGCAAAGCACTTGTGCAATGCAGGGGTGTATGTCACATACAGTCTTACACAGTGTCACTTCTTCAGCCTCCAAGTCATTTTGAACAAGGAGAATGCTTTTAAAGTCTGACTTTGTGTCACAAGGCAAAGAAGAAATATATCCTTTTATCTGGGAATTCCTCTCTGGCCA